TTATCGACACGTGTAATTTTTGTATTTAGTGCAACATCCGTTGGTATAAATTGATAAGGGTTATTTTACCTGATTGTTGTATGTTGAAAATAGTCCAATCAGTTGAGTCAAATCCTCTTAGGACTATATTATTTTTCGCTTGAGGGATCCACTCGCAAGGCGATCGATCACGTGATAACTTACGGGTTTGCAATTGGATCGTCCAAATATGCAACCAGCCTTGCAGTTGCATTGGATCTGCATTCTTTACTGCCTTGAGAGCAGGCATACCTTAACATATTTGATCTGTGAAGCTTTGTAAGATGTTCATCGTCATTGTGCTGGTCATATCCGAGAGTAACAACAGATTTTTCAAAACTTTCCACGAAAAATCTCTATAAATAAAAAGTCATAGCAGATTAAAGTATATTGAGTCATTCAACATTAATTATGTCACAGTAAAATGTGTACCTTGAATAACGAGAAACTTCTGGTGTTTGCTAGTTTTGCATACAAATCATCAACAGCGCCCAACAGCGAATACCAGGGAATATAATCGACATCACGACGAATATAAGTCGAAATATCCAAAAATGTTGAATAGTTGATACGATTGGCAATAGCTAAGTTATAAGAATCATCCATGAGTTGTGCACGATTGACGGGATGAATGTTTACATAATCGTCACTGTCCAAATAATTAGCTATTAATTTCCAATTTGTTTCATCATAGTTGACCCGGTAGAAACCTGTTGATTGATTTCGAATAGTTTATCGACACGTGTAATTTTTGTATTTAGTGCAACATCCGTTGGTATAAGTTGATAAGGGTTATTTTACCTGATTGTTGTATGTTGAAAATGGTCCAATCAGTTGACTCAAATCCGCTTAGGACTATATTATCTTCTCCTTGAGGGATCCACTCGCGAGGTGACGTTGATGAAAAATCTAGATCAGACTGAGTTGTGTAACTGATAGGAACCCACCATCTGGTACCGTCATCACTAGCACCGGATTGAAAATATCGTTCCTGACTGATATCAGCTGTTCCGGTTGAATAATCCCTGGTGACAGTGATCAGTGGAAATCCAGGCTGCTCGACCCACGTGTCCATCACCTTTTTAAGGCAAATCTCAGGGGGCAGAATTTCATATTCGTCAGATACCTCTTGTAAGGCTCTCCAAAGGTCATCGGGCGTGACCGCCTTATAGGCACTGTAAATAATTTTGAAAAATGAGCTCAGGACCATCATAAATGTGTTAAAAGTTAAGAAACTTACTTATTCTTTAAGTATCTGATGAGTCCATCGTGAAAGACTTGGGGAGTCAGGAAATTGGACATCATGTGAATCACAGAAGCCGCTACGTGCATAGAGAAGCGTTATTTGATAATTGTTTTCGTAAATGAATTATTTTTGAAAAACAGTTATACCTTTGCCATACGTAATTGAATCGTAAAGTGCATTAATTTCTTCATAAGTTGATACATCCTGATTCAAGGGACGAGTGGTTTTGGAAGAATCAGCAATAAAGGATCTTCCCTGTGAAATACGAACTACGAAT